GGGATGCAGGGAGGCCCGGTGCTTCTGATGCCAAGCCAGGAGCGGGAGGCCCGGGCCTCAGCCTCCCCTTGACCATGGAAGACCCAGGAAGACTTTGAGCCACTCACACCCGTTCAGCCCAGCCCAGCCATTTTTTGTTTGGGAGAAAAATGGGAGGAAGAAGACAATGTTCACAGGAGGACAAGTGGAGTACAGATAAAATGAAAATGATCAGTGCCATAGAATTATGCATTCTGAACAGCTTCCTAGCAGCTAGAATCCTTAGCCACCCCCATGTTCCTGGGGGATTTTGTTGGCCCACAAAAAGAGCAGACTTAGGTGAGGGAATAGAAGGGGAACTTACCAAATTTGAAGATGATACTAAGCTGGCAGGAATAGCTAACACCCAAGAAGATAGGCTCAAGATCCAGAGGGATCTTGACAGACTAGAACCCTGGGCCGTATCTAATACAATGAAATTTAATATAGAGAAAAGTCAAGTCCTACACTTAGGCAAGAAAAACCAAAAGGACGCATATAGACTGGGTGAAACCAGGCCCAATAGCAGTAACTGTGAGAGGGATCTTGGAGTCTTAGTGGACAACCAGATAAATAGGAGCCAGCCGTGTGCAGCAGCAGCCCAAAAAGCTAATGCAATCCTAAATTGTATTAACAGAGGGATACAATCAAGATCAAGGGAAGTACTAATACCACTCTATAAAGCCTTAGTAAGACCACACCTAGAGTACTGCATCCAGTTTTGTTCACCACATTATAAAAGAGATGTTGAGACTCTAGAAAAAGTACAGAGAAGAGCAACCAGGGTGATTAGGGGACTGGAGGCTAAAACATACAACGAACGGTTGCAGGAACTGGGCTTGGCTAGTCTAGCAAAGATAAGGACCAGGGGAGACATGATAGCGGTCTTCCAATATTTGAGGGGCTGCCACAGGGAGGAGAAGGGGTCAAGCTATTTTCTAAAGCTCCTGTAGGCCAGACAAGGAATAATGGATGGAAACTGAACAAGGAGAGATTTAACCTGGAAATAAGGAGAAGCTTTCTGACAATGAGAACAATCAACCCATGGAACAGACGTTGCCCTCGGAAATTGTGGGAGCGCCATCACTTGAGACTTTCAAGAAGTGATTGGACTGCCATTTGTCAGAAATGGTGTAGGGTCTCCCGCTTGGGCGGGGGGTTGGACTAGATGGCCTACAAGGTCCCTTCCAACTCTGATTATCTGTTAAATCTGACTGCTCTGTCAAACAAGGAGAAGCTGGGCTGAGGGTAGGAAAAAGGTGAAGAAACTCCATCCTTTGTTTGTCTCCAGTGCTGCTGAAAAGAGGATGACAGAATTCTAGACCAGATTCTGCTCCGTGCAGGCATCCAAACATCCTGGAAGGTATCCATCCACCCAGGTGGAAGTACATGTCTCAAACTGCCCACTAGCAAAGTTTTCTACAGGTTGAGAAAGGGTAGCTTATGGGAAATAAACACATTCCTAAGTACAGAAGGTCTTTGAAGCCAGTGTAAGTTTTTTGTCTACTCTGTCCCGAGAAGAGCTCAAAATGTCGGGTTCACACATGCTGGAACTCCTACGGAGTATATACATACATGCTCCCCACAGATCTATTCCAATGTGCAACAGCAATTATACTCTGTCCCACAAATGTGTTGCACACCAGTAGAGGGCCATGGTTAAAGTGGGAAAGCGGACCATCGGCTAAGCAAGTTCATAGCTTTGAGCCGGTCCTTGTCACAAGAGGGTTCCAGCAATGTTGGCTCTGCAGCTCAATTCCTTTAACAAGTATTTCACCAATTCAGATTGAATTACAACTTGGCCTATCATAGGCAGATGCAGTTTTGACCGATTCCCGTAGATGGCTGTATAATCTAAACCTATTCTCTTGTGAGAATCTGTTAATGCCTAATGAAAATGTGCATGAGCAACTAGAAGCAAATTGCCACCTTCTAAGGCTAACTTCTAGGGCAAAGGGGTCTTGGCATACAGTAATACCTGAACGAATGTTAAAAAGAGTTCCTAACTACAAAGACATCTGGCAATGGAACCAATCCTGCCAAGAGAGCAGGGCTAGCTTGCTTGGATGCCTTCAAGTAGACGTTGGAACTGCCATCCGGCAGGGATCCAACTCCACCTGCTCAATGGCCCCCACCCAGCTGGATTCTCCGTTAGACACATGCCCTGCACGGAGCTTTACAGCAGGCAATGTGGACAGCCACAAATACAACTGGCTTAACTGAAGATCTCAAAAACAATAGCACCATTAACACGAATGCTTCTTAGGATTAAAGCCACCTTTAATAGATCAGCACAGAAAGTGATTCGAGGAACTGATTAAATGTCCCATAATCTATTGGATTTTCATTTATATGTCCTGGAATAAGGACATATATATATACATTGCTGCAAAACCAAGGAACCAAATGATTACTCTTATATTTTAGCACCACTTATAACAGAATAAGAACATTTGTACAGTATGAAAAGAAAGCAATCAAGCAAAATCTTTAAGAACCTCCCTTTCATCCCTATTAGCTGAATGAACTGATAAAACGCCCTAGTTCTTTTCTGAACAGTTAAGTGTTTCTCCAGTAAGGAAAGGAAAAAAGCTCCATTCGCGTTTACGCATTCGTGCAGGCACAAGCCAGCCTCTGACAAAGCAGTGAGAAGTGAGACAGCACCATTTCTCTTAACCAGCTCAGCCTCTCTGGATGATCCTGGGTCTCGCATTCTGAATGGGAACGGCGAATTCTTTCTAAGATATATATGCAGATTATTCCCCCTATCCCCGCTTGAATATCTCAGATTCACTCTTCTTGCAGCTTATCAAAAAACCCTGCATAGAATATACAGCCACAAAGCAAATATGGCCAGTTTTGGCTTTTTATTCAGTCTCCTGTGTTCTTTCAAGCACAGACTAACTACTCGGCGGAAAAGAGAACGCACAGCCTCCCTGCACTGGATAAAAAAACCCTTTCCAACAGGTAGTTCGGCAAAGGAGCAGAACACCTTTGGATGGAGCTCCAACTGCCCACCTTCCTCTACCTGCCCCTTCGCCAATCACAGGCAGGAGAGCTTGGTCCAACCAAGACATCCACATTCAACATTTCATAAAGAAGTGGGGATTATTTCCTCCAAGCTATGGAGGATGGAACTTGAAACACTTCTGCCCTGGGTTCAAATGTGCTTATGCATTAGTTTCACGTGAGCCTGAATGATTCAGAAATGGACATAGCAATAGCCCTTAGACTACTATTATACCACTTTATAATGCTTTACAGCCCTCTCAAGGTTTTTTACAGAGTCAGCCTCTTGCCCCCAAGAATTTGGGTCCTCATTTTACCCACCTCGGAAGGCTGAGTGAACCTGAGTGAGCCTGGTGGCAAATCAATCTGCCAAGTAGCTTGCAGTACCGCAGTCTAACCACTGCGCCGCCGAGGCTCCTTATGCAACAGCTTAGCATTATCTGTTGATGCAGAGATGGCCCTTACTATCTTTGTGTACATGACTATTAGTTCAGGTGTTAACTATCTATGGTAGACTTTCTTTTCCAAGTTACTACACGGTGTGTGTCATTCAAATGTAGTCGTTAAAAATATCATAAAAGTAGCTTTAAACTTCTCTTGGGAACAGAAGAGGAGGGGAAGATTCCTATATTTAGGAATAATGGCTTTGGCTCTCTGCTCCTGAGTTTATCAGGATGCTTGTCATGCCAGGTGCTTATACAGAGGAAGCTTTTCTGGCTTCCAGGTTAATTTCAGCAACTTGCATCTGGGAGGAGGAGCAGCTGATGAGGAAAAGCAGAAGGAAACTGCAGCTCCACCTTCCACTCTGGGGAGGCCCCACTGCCTTTGTTCCTGCCCTCAGCAGCAGCAGCAGCAGCAGCAGCAGCAGCAGCAGCAGCGCATCCAATTCACCCTGCACAACTCCTGAGCTGTAACACATCCAAGCACACCTGAGCCATGTGCCAAGTGCTGCTGAATAAAAGCCCAACACCTCCATTTGCACAACAAAGAAGTGACTTCTTGTGTGTTCTGAAAAGGAGGGAGGATGAAGGACCCTGCTTTTATCTGATATGGATTTTAAATGCAGATTCATTTAACAAGTTTCTTACTTTATTGAATGAAACATGGTTATTATTTCAAACTCCCAAAGCATAAGATTATCATAGTTGATAATGATTTTTCTACCAAGCCCCTCCAAACCTTTTTTCATCCGTCTTTTATTCTCAAAGGATTAAAAAACATTGTGCAAGAGGATCAACAAATCGGCTGCTTGAAAGCCTTCCTGATGCTCAGCTCAAGTTAGAAAAGGCTTAATGAAGGCTTGGAAATCCACCAGGGCTTCACAATAAGCATCAGGCTTGGTGATTTATGCATATTAATAACCTCAGTCCTATTGAAGCAAGCTGAGTGGTACGTGTCCTACCAATCAAATCTTAAGGTCTTCAAGACAACTGGGATCATCAGCAATGTACATTTTACCATTCTCTGCTATTAATCTCTGTCCTCCTGTTCAGCAACATAATGACTAATTAAACATCAACAGATGTGTGTTCCTGAGATAGATCCTGTGACACTCCTTTCCCCTTGGATTACAGGAATTAACCAGTTAAAACTGACTCCACAAATTGCTGCTGGCCACAGATTTAATGGGAGGACCAGACCAGGGATCTGCCCTCTGCTCTGTCTCAGTGTTGCCACCGCAGAACCTTTTGTTCTTAATGCGGAGTAAACTCATTGTACGTGCCCCACCCGCTCCTCTGCATACTCCAAGGTCTCTCTGGAATCCTCTTTATCTGCTCAAATCTAAGGCAAGGTATGCACAACCCTTTTTCCTTCTGCATAAAACGGCCACAAGTTTGTATTCCAATTTTATTTTTTAATTTGTCTCCTTCCTCAGTAACAAGCTTGAATCTTTATGACTAAGAAAGTTAACGAATAGCTAGATACAACAGTGTGTGCTTCTAATTAAAAGGTTAAAAACCTCCAGGACTTACAGAAGATGGCAAACCAGGAGGCACCTTCCTTACTTTTTTTGTCTGCAGAGAATCTGCACAGAAAAAAAAAACATGCTTTAATTAACAGGAAAATGTAGCGGTAAAATGAAATGAAATTCATCAAATGAAATTGAAGTAAAATGACACAACACAGCGCAAAAGGAACTCAGAAGATCAGAAGCTTATACAGTTCAACTTCTATTTGAAGCCACTGGGGGAGGTCTTTCAATAGCTATCATCAGAATAGTCCTGGATTTGTAATATGAAGGACATTCCAACTGTGCTTTCTCATTATAAATTACAACAAATTCCTTTCTTCAAAAAATAACATTGAATTATTAGATAATTAAATTGAAAAGTTAAATCTGATGAGGAAATAAGCAATTTACACTATTATCTAGACTAGAAAATACATCTGTCTCTTTTACACACACACACACACACACACACACACACACACACACAATATTCTGTGGGGGGAGGCAATGTGGGGAGGGGGCAAAGGGGGAAACTTGGAGCAATTATCACTGAATTCTACCCTCCAGGCTATTAAAGTGCAGTTCCCTTCTGCAGCCTCTTTCTCTCCCTTGCTCCCATTTCTAAGTCAAGGATTTTGTGAAATGCATCTTATCCAAGAAAGGAAGCCAATAATCCAATGTGTTCCTTGGGGGGAAAGGGGCACAACACGACTGACTCACCAAGGGCAGATGAATCACGAAGGGGCCGTCTTCGTGGATTTGCAGAGGAAAATGCATAATACGGTGTTCCAGTTTTTTCTGAGAAAGCCAGGGGGCCTGGGCTTCCAACACCCACGTTAGGCCGAAGCAGACTTGTCTGTAAACGAAACAAGTAATACCGGACTCTATTTATATAATGGGAGGTGATTATCACCATCAGTGGAAACCTAGCTGTGCACGTTGGCAGAGTTTGCCCATCTTAAGACAAAAGAAAAAAATCCTTACCAAAATTGAGAAGACTTTTTGGAAAACAAAGGTTTAATGCAAGGCACTAATCTGTAAACTATGTTTTGTAACTCATGATGGCTAAGTTCACAGAATAAAAAAGCATATGATGATTTAATGTGCTGCATTAAACCAGTTTTAGATAACTTTCTAATTTTGTAACAATAAGGAATGGTCTGGTGGTGCAAAGGTTAGAATGCAGAATTATTGCAGGCTGACTCTGCCAACTGCCAGCAGTTTGATCTTGACCAATTCACGGTTGACTCAACCTTCCATCCTTCTGAGGCCAGTAAAATGAGGACCCAGATTGTTGGGGCAAGATGCTGACTCTGAAAACTGCTTAGAGTGCTGTAGAACACTGTAGAGCAATATATAAGTCTAATTGCTCTTTCTAAAAAGGACTTTACTCAAAGAAATAAGGTTTCTTTTCTACTCCTGCTGATTCCTGGGGGGAAAAAACACCAAGTTTATATGAATTACTACTGGTTGCCAAATTTAAAATCAATATAGATGTAATTAACTCATCTTGCTTTTACTGTCTTGCAAAAAATAAAAGCAATATTAAGATCAATTCCACCTGGAGGTTATATATTCAGACAGAATACATTCCTCCTAAGAGTAGTACTGATATCAGTATAAGAAGCCTGGTGTTATCAAGATCTCACTTCCTCTTGGTCACTTGTAATTGCTGCAGCTCTCCCCATGAAGTTTGGTTCAGTGAGATGTTGTGCAGACCCACAGAAGTCCTCCAGCCAACTGAAACTCCGTTTTCCGTACTTACAACCAAATCTTGAGGGGGGAGGGGGAGGGTCCCCTTCAGAAGTTAAAAGGAGGTATTTCGCATATGCTGCTCTTCATTCCAAAGCACTTCAGGCGCTACTTCCAGCCTAGTTACCTGATGCTCCTCACAGGCCCACTTGGTCTCCAAGGCCCTCCTCCGCCCTCTTCCATGAAGCTGGGCTGGTAGGGCACGGTCAGAGGGTGGAGGGTGGTCTTCAAAGGCAAAGCCTGAGTCCAGGGTTAAGTTCTACCAGTACTGGGGGCCTCCTGATCTTTTGCTTCGGTGCATTATACACGTCCTCCTTAGGTTTCCAAGCAAGGTTCACTCTTTTTCTCTCCCTCCTCAGGAGCTTCTCCTCCTTTGCTCAAGAATTTCTGATCTTTCCCAAAGGAGCAGAAATTCTCCGATCAACCCTTTCACCGCCCTCTCCCTCCAAAGAGGATCAGAGAAGATGACTTTACTGCTCGGTCAAATGCAGGTTAGCACAAGACGCCTTCATTCTACATGCCGCTTGAAATTTCCCTCCATGTTTCCTGACAGGTTCCCATGCAATCCCTGTTCAAGCGATTACTGAGTTTTATATTTTGTTTTATAGGAAAAAAAATTGACCAAAACATAGCAGCTTCTTAATAGACTAAATTATGCAATCAATGGCAACTAAATAGTGAAATGCTGACATTTGTTGATACTTTTCTGTTTTATTTCTTTGAAAGTTGGGTAAAAAGAAGCCTAATAATCTTTGAGTAAAAACATATATCATAATATTGGGGATCTCTGGTTCCTCTGCCTCGAAAGCAGATCACAGCTACTGAGGAAAAGTAGTTTGCCTGAGGGGAGGCTCAGGTTCTGGTCATTTTCCTTCAGAGCAATCTGTTCCACAAAATCATATCTGTGAGCAAAAGCGGGAGTGCCATGTACGCGGTCTGGAGCTTCTGGAGGAAGGATAAAGCAGAAACCTAATAAATAATACAGAAAACTTTGTTCTGCCACAACTTCAACAGCCTTGAAATATAAAGATAACGTGTTAATATATAACTACTATATTATAAAAGTGTAGGAGTTTGTGTGTATGTAATTTGTATTAAGACTTTCAAAGAGGAAAAAAAAAACAACTAACGGCAAATCTTTAAATGGCAGATCTACCTGACAGCCTGAGAGCCCGGCATCTCGACCAAACATTGGAAACTGACTCCTCTCAGAGGCTTTTCCTAGAAAGCAAACAAACTTAAAAATGAATGTCCATTATAGACATACTGAGAACTTCCTAATGACAGCATTTTACATTTTAAAAAGGAATATAAATAAAAACCAACACTATGTTTCTTTTAACAAAAGCAGTAAATAATTTGGAGGAAGACAAAAGACTTAAGAATACTTCCAACTGTTTGACACACCTTGATAGCATACAAAGCACAACATGCTGAGACTTCTCAGGATTAAGGGTCTTTTCCTGTGTGAAGCAAATTCCATTTGCCTGTTGCCCCCTCCCTACATATTCAGAATGGACTGAGATTAGTGTACGTATATATATGTGTGTGTGTGTGTACACCCACACCCACACACTTTTGAGAGCAGGCATCAGAATTTCATTTTTCATGGATGCCATGTACATACACAAAGTGGTGATGAAGGTTATCTTATCTACCTTACACTTTATCATGCCATCACCTTTTACAATAATAAACAAACGGGTGCTTCCCCCCCACCCCCCAGGTACGGGGTTGGGTCTTGGTCTCACAACCCCCTGCGTCCTTTGCAACACACAATCCAAATATCTCCTGATGAGGTTCATCGAACACACTGAACGAACTGCCTTGCCAACAAAAATGTTTGTGAAGCTGCAAATTGAGGAGCCCTCAATTTCTATCATGGGTTTTGGATGCAACTAACCCAATTTCTAGCTCTACTTTCCTCATAAGAGTAAATTCATATCCCTACTTAAGAACAAACTCAGCAACAGTCGCCCAGTCAAGTAATGAAGTCCTCCAAAAACTGCCAGACACCAACCAAGGAAAATAATAGCCAGCAGGCCCTTTTTTCTCAAGCAATATTAATCCTGCTAATCCCGGTTCATGTTAACCGGTCTGAGCATTTTCTGTCCCATTAATCGAAAAGCCTGCATCAACTGATAAACAACCCTTAAGTTATGTCATATTTTAGGCAGGGTTTAAAATAACATTTTAGCAAAATAGCAAAATACTAATATTGGAAAAGTAACTGTGAGGCAGCAGGAAAACTTTAAATCTGCCTTATTGAGCTCCTGTGGGACGGGGCATGGATCCCTTTAAGAGCACTCAACAGAACCGCTGGCTGTCAATCATCTCCGCTGAGGGCCAGCAGTCAGCCTACCTACATTGACTGCAAGTCTACAATAGATCCCCTCCCGCATGGGACAGGGCTGTTGTAAAATAGGCAGGCTAGAAACCATAAAGGCTAAAATATTTTAATCAATTTTTATTTTTTATAGTTAAAATTTCAATTTTAAAAATGGTGATAAAAATATATTAATCTGCGTACTTTAAGTAAGTTTAGCTAGTTGGGGAGGGGAGAGATATCATTTCATGCCCAGCAGCTACAGAGAAACAGAAAAAAACTGACCTTTTGGGGAAGGTTGATGATTTACTTATGCCAGCAATTTTCTTACCGCAGGGAGCACAGAGATGCTTGCTCCATTAATGAAAAACAATGATTCAGATTTTTTTTTAACAAGGTACAGCCTCTCTCAAGTCAAGCTAGATTCCCAGCAGTTCACAAACTCTGCTTGGCAGTAGGGATAGGAAGGAGTTTGCCACTTAAAGCCCCACCAGGGCCTTTTTCAAAGTTAACTGAGGTTCTAGATCTGCCATCAATTAAAGAAAAATCCACAGCACAGGTGAACATATCATTAAATGTGTATTCATTACAAATAATGCTCAAGGCCCAAAAATGAAAGATAACACTGACAAAGCAAATCCATTTAGATCACTAAAAATCAATCAGTTGTTAGAAAAACAACTGCATAATTACAATTAGACTATTAGCCATCCTGGTGGCACCTCAGAGAAGCAACTCTGGCAAAGCCAAGAAGCTGATTTGGTGGTGAGATCACCACCATATTCCTCCCCACTGCCTTCGGCCAAAGGAGCACTGAATTAGTCTTGCTGGGAATGAACAACAGGGAAAACTACAAAATATTTTGCTAAACAGAAACAGTGATTTAAACAAGGAACTGTACATGCCCTAAACAGTTTAATTAGTGCATTATTTATTTCATTAATATGTTTAATTGAATTGATTTTTAATAGCAGAGATCAGTATATTTTATCTTTCCTGAAAAATTAGTCCTTGATAAACAGATCTTTGGAGTGCTGCAGCTTCTTCTGTATAAAATGCACAAAATCATGCAAATCGAATTGTATCTAAAATAAGGCAACAAATAAGCTTCACTGCCTTTTAATTTTTCACATATTACTTTACAGGATTACGTGTACTCCTTTGCCATTAACCCCTTCTGACACCATAGTTGGCAAGCGTGGATGGCTAGCTCACACCCCAAGCACCTGGGGGCGGGGGGCTAATAGTGGGGTTCCCTGAACTCCAGGCAGAAAAGCCACCCCGGCTGAACGTTCATCAAATCACTGCAATGGCACTTCTAGTCCTGCCCTTCGGATAACGTGGAATGAACTGTATTCTCACTCCCAGCTGTAACTCCTATGCAACCAAGGTAAGGTGATTAAAAACAGAAACCAAAACCAGGTTCTGCACAAATCTGAGTATTTCGTTTAGTTTTAACTGCTGGAAATCAGGCAAGGGGCACCCAAAGAACCTCATTTCTAGCTAAGCTAGACAAGAGGCTGTGCCAATGAAGCTCCACCAACTACAGTAGAGGAGCCGATCAGAAGGCAACTGTTTATTAGAGAAACACCATTCAGAATGACAGAGTTGGAAAGGACTCAGTTCCATTTACCACAAATAAAACGGATTGAGTAAAGCAATTGCTCCATGGAAGAATATTTCAAGAAACGTATCGTGCTGTTTACACTTTGAGGCTTCGGCTAACAGATATCCTTCCCTTGGGTGAGATGAGCCAAAACCGCACTTCGGGTGGCCTACTATCAGTTTAATTACATTCTCCTCCCAGGCGGTCTTCATCCTGGATTGCCAGAGTTTAGAAGCAGTTACTAAGAACACAGAGAATGTTGACTCACAACTAAGGTATAATTATTTTTCATAGTTTAATAAAAATAATTAAGCACATTGTTACTTCAATAGCCTCTTTTTGCTGACCTTTTGAGTTGCCTGCTGGTTACTTTAAAATTGATGAGTGTACAAAAGTGGAGAACTAGCATTTCACTTTGTTTACAGTTTAGAAGTCCAAATTTCACTTCCTCTTTGTATGCAGACAAACCAAGCAAATTTGCCACAAATAATTTACTGAAACAACTGAGGGGTTGTGTGTGTGTGTGTGTGTGTGTGTGTGTGTGTGTGTGTTTGTACTTGGCATTTATACAATGCTCCAGTGTGTTCTTCATTCAATTTATACAGCTGCCCACTTACCATGTGATTTGGGCACGATAGCAAAAACTCACCAAAACAAAAATGAAAGATACATCACTCACAGAGTATAGAAAAAAAAACCCAGCTCCTTGGGGCCGCTAAGGGGCCACAGGAGAGGTGCAGAGGGGCACTTCTGGGTCCCACCAGCTAATGTTGTTTTAACCAAAGGGATGTGGAACATGCCCACCCTTGCATGTGGGATCTTGTGGAAAGTGGAAGTAGCTGGAGACAGACAGCCCCACAAATAACTCAGCCTTCTGTCTTAAATTGCTTTCAAGGTGATAACCAGTATCTGAAACGGGACCTTAAATAACCATACATAAACATTTTTGAGAGAAAGCAGGGAATAGGACAGATGGAAGTAGCTCGTGAACCGGGATATTTTGCAGAAAATAGAAGAGACAGGCGCTAGTCTTGCTTTCTCCAAAGTCTATCACAGAACTTAAAGCGTGGGGAGGTTCAGGACTGGTTAATGGAAGGGCTTCTTGCGCAAGAGAGAAGAGTCAGGATGGTTTTAAGAAGTTGTTCAAGGGGCCCACAGAGATGGATGCCAGGGCAGCTCATTCCGACGCTCGTTCCCCACCACCAGGGCCAGAAAGCCCTGGATCTAAGAGACCCATGAGTGACAGGGAAAAGGGGCCACTGCTTGCTTGCCCAGGTTCCACTCTGAGTTTCCACCCAGCATGTTGTGCTCGAGGGGCCGCTACCTTCTATCAGTGCTCTTTATTATGACCTTGTGTTGTGAACTGATTACACTTTTCATAAAAATATTCACTCAAAATAAACTGAAAGCACCAATACTGATTTCTCTCTCTCTCTCTCCCCCTCCCTCACACACACACACACACACACACACACACACACAACTTCTCTACAGCTTGATGGAGTGCTTGAAAATAAAACCGCTACATTACTGTAATGTGATTCACAGAAGAACGCTGATAAAAATGAATATTCTTCTATTCTCATATTCATGTCTTTAATATAGGTGTTGCATAACTCAGAAATACAACAGTGTATCATTAGAGTTAAATTTATTTAAGGCAAGTATTTTTATAGGCCTATTTGGGAAGTCACATATAAACCTTCCAAGCCTCCAGTTCTTGGCATGACCTGGTGACCCAGGCAGAGAAGATGCTCAAAGAGCAGAACTCCAATTCTGGCCTCCAGAGGAACAACAATAAATCGCTAAGAAAATACACCATCAAATCCTAAACATAGCATCAGTTTCGTTTAATTACAGCCTTGTCACCGATGCAATTATTCAAACAGCTCATGCAAATGTTAATGAGTCTTATTTGCATATTTATTTTTTTGCTTTGTTGAAATGTCATTATTACATTCTACAGTGATGAATAGTGCTGATGAAGTAGCCTGATATGTAATTAGTCATAAGGTGGAATGAATGGGTCAATTATGGAAAAAATGAGATTAAGAAATAATCAAACAAGAACACTCAATTTAAAAAATTAAAATGTCCAGATAATGATTTATCATTTTGATTTCAAAACTCGTTCACAATAAAGCACTTTTTAAATAAGTGTGATTGTAAGAATAATCAGCTATCCAAAACAATAAATATGTTCTGCAAAAGCAGAGCTGGATCAATATTTTTCAGACATTACCAAAAGTCTATTTCACAGAGATTTTCATGAAGGATTTGTCATCGTTCTATAGTTGAAACATGCGCATTTTTAGCTTTGTAAAACATATGGAAATGGGGGAAAGCATGGCTTAAAATACTGCTTTATTTTTGAAAGGAACATTTACTTTAGTCTTTTCTATTGCTTGTTTGTTATTTGCTGGGGAACACCTTACTGAAGACCAGGTGGGGACATTCCACACGACCAAACCAATCCATCAACGCTGTGGGGCGCAGGTGCAACACAGCCGTGCAGCAACACCCCATTTCACAGTCTATCGGACACAAACACATGATCGCCAATCAATGGCACCCCAAGGACTTCAGGTGGGGGAAGGCTCTCCCGAGTCTTCCTGGTCCCCGCCTGATGACTTCATAATCACACATCATTACATTCACTGGAGGATACAAGCTTGCGTTTTAATAACCTCCACCGGAAGTGCTTCACAGCTACTTGTTAATAAGAGCATTCTTTGCAACAAAGCCGCTGATTTGAAGTGGCATAAGGCTGAATTATACAAAGTTGGAAACTTCTATCTTAAAAGTGTTTCTGTTCAGCCCAAGAGACCTAAAACTCCATTCATTTTGACTAAAAGACTACATATTTAACCTTCACAGAGAAATAATGATGTATCAAGCTAACATAGGTAGAAATTTTAAATAATGTAAACATTTGCTACAGAAAACTACACTGCAGTCAATAGGGTCCCTTCACATTTTATTCAGAACTATTTTCTGAGGTGATGGCTATTTAATATAATCGTTAGCCTGTCCATTTCAGCGCATTCGAGAATTTTTTTTTTATTATTGCTGTCTCGGAGGGGATAGTGTCCTTTTTCTAATTTTGAGCAAATGAGATTCTGGCAGCAGTTACTATATGGAGTATAATATATTGGAAGTTCCTACTAACTTTTGATCCTATTATACCTAATAAAAACAATCCAGGTCTTAATTCAATTCTTTGTCTTGTTATTTCTTCCAACCCTGTTTAAATTTTGAGCCAATACTTCTGGGCTTGGGGACAGGTCCCCCACATTTGAATAGACGTTCCTTGGCTGTAACTACACCTCCAACACTCTGCTGATACATTGGGAAACCTCTTGGATTTAGCACCTGCTTTCTAAAGCCCAAGAAGAGAATGTGTGGCAGAAGCAAGAGCAACACCTGGGTTGGTAGAGCTTTCTGTCGTGGTTGAAGGTTTCTGAAGGGGCCAGCAAATTCAAAAGCAGAGGAAATGGACAGGAAACCCCCCCCCCCCCGTGCTCCGTGACTTGGGACGGCCCCTGTTCCCAGCTTCAGGACCTCTGTGTCTGGACCACATCAACCAGGACCCGTAAGGTCTCCGTTAAACTATTCAATATTTCCCTTTGTGAAGCAGGAGTTCACACTCACTTTCTTTTATTTCCTAAAGCCTGAGCATAACTGTACGGACAGTAAACTTTATGAATCAACATTACTCCTGATTGTTCACTGACTGGTTTCATGGACCAAATATAATTTCTTCCTCAGTTATTTCTCCTCTGCATAAACCCTAATTTGAAAACCTGCATAATTAAAATAAAATAAAAACTGCAGAAAGCTGCACATATTATTAGTATCTAAAAATGCCTGGACAAAGTGAATTGTTTCTGAAACCATCATCTATATTTCACATGATTCTGAAAAAGAAAGTAAGCCAAAAGCAAATTTTTACTTGTAACTTAAATCATTAATATAAAAATATCTTCAAGGCACAGTAATTAGAACACTTAGAGAGGATAATTTGCTTCCCCAGAGAGAGAGGCACATATACAACACCTCTTTTAAGTTGCATCATGAACGCATTAACCAAGAAGCATTCTGTATTTTCCTTCTTTCCTCAATTTATTTATAATTGAAATCTATGAATATTGATAGTTACTATTGTTCCATTGCAACTATGTACCACATTAACAATATACAGCCAGAAAATGCAGATACACATGAATGATTCAGACTTTTCTTTAATAACCAGTTACAGTTACTGTCAAAGTAAAATGTATAATTCTTTACATGTTGTCTTCCTAACAAAATTAGAATTAGGAAGAAACAAATCAGTTCAACATAATAATTTCCTCTGTCAAAAAACACTATAGAATGTCTAAGCCAATTTTAAAATTCATCATCTAAAGCATAATGTTCATTGCTGAATAATTATCCTTTCCTATTCTTCAGCATTTTTGGCTCCTGTAATGTAGTATTGTAGAAGATCATTAAGGTGTTTAAAACCTCCATTGGTCAAGCCACTAGCAATTAATATTTCACTATCTTTCCTGGCAAACATGCCTGTGACTGAACATAATTTAATATAAAATAATAAAATAAAATACCATTCTGCCGACAAATAACTATTTTTAATGATGCATTGACAGGACTTTTGAAAAGCTTATGAAATTACACCGTTTTAAATACTCTGAAGATTAATCTGCTAGACAACCAACAGGGGAAGCTTGAGTAAGCCAGTCTGAAGCAGGTACACAGGGGTCAGCTTCTCCCTCTCTCAAAAAGCGACACACCTTGGTAAAGAAACACACTGAGTTTCAAAATCTGCTTTTATGAATGACATCCGACATCACCCAAGGCCTAATGGGGTTTAACACATGTTGTTAAATCAGTCACTGTAGTTTGTAAGTCACAAGTTGTATTGCCAACTGTGGCTTCCTCAAAAACCTAACTGGTTAAATAAGCCATGTTGAGGTAACGTAAAGCACAACTCCCTGCAACCTGCGGCCGTCTCCTATGGCCTCAAGGCACACAACACTGTTGCTGAAAGAGAGCTAATATACACTTACACAGGCAGCTGCAGACTCAAAGAATTAAGAAATTAGCATGAAATTTGATATCACTGTAGTGGCAGTCCGTCTCTTCCATGGAATTGCAAGCACCCATCATGGCAGTGATTTTTTTCCAAATATACTTGAGTAAAATACTGCAACCTCTGTCTTTATTTAGCAAGTCCAAACACTGAAAACTAAAACCAGACATTAAAGCAACCAAAAGCCAATGGTGGCGGTCCTTGCAGACCCCTCCTTTGCCTTGCCAGCAGCACTGACCCAAACCACAGCCCCACAACTCCTCTATTCTGTGGATCTATTCTATTCTGCTTTCCTTGGTTCTCTGCTATCCCCAATCATTGAATTATTCACAAAACTTCTCGATTTGGACCTCACTTCCTTCTTTATTGTCATTTGACAGCTCCTCGCCCTCCCCCCCACCTGCTTCCCTTTTCTCTGGTGACTCCCACATTGAATGGCTTCTGCCAAAAATAACAGAATAAGACAATAACAGGATTGGAAGGGACCGTGGAGGTCTTCTAGTCCAACCCTCTTCTCTTGTACTTTTTCTAGAGTCTCAACAACTTTTTTATATCGTGGATGCAAAATTCCAAGGGTGGCCTTATACCAAGGCCTTATAAAGTGATTCTAACATTCGTGATTCGATCCCTCTGCTAATGCAGCCTGGAACTGTGTTGGCTTTGGGGGCAACATAATCAAGCGATTGTCCATTACGACTCCAAGATCCCTCTTGGAAACCCAAGAAATAGATGCTTAGGGTCCTGGTACAGATCAACTTCTAATGCCCCTGTCTTGGCACTGACTGCTTGCTCTTGCCTGATCATACCAATGGCATTAATCTAGAAAAAAGGGAGAAAAAAACCATTTTGTAGGGAGCCACACAGAAATCAATATCAACTTACCTATCAGATTTGAATTCAGGAAAGGAGCTGGAGATAATCTTTCACTGGGTCCTAATCGTTCATCACTCAACTGATCACCATAGGAAGGAATATCTATAAAACCCTGTGCATAAAGAACAGTATTTAAGGAGTTATTATTTTGCAGCTCCACTTACTAAGTTCAAGTAAACTGAAAACATGGATGTACAGTGGGTCATTTTTCATGAAACTGGATTTTAAATGTTGGTGTCACATAATATATGTAAGCTGACCATTTTAAAACTTCCATCATACTATAAATACTATACTACCTTTCTCATAAATGAATATCAAGAGATGAGACTTCAATATCAATATGATTTTTAATTACACCATTGAGAATTTGCCGCCCCTTATGCTGAATGTCAATTCTTGGGGGTGGAGTCTAGATTGGTGGAAGCATACATGCAGAAGCAGTTCAAAGATTTCTGGTTATGGCCACAATGATACTAAGCTACAGTGTATAACATCCTCCCCAGTCCTTCTAACAGCAATTCCAGGAAGACAATAGCACTTTGACACAATCGAAGCCTTTGTCACAATATATGTAACCTATTTTTCACAATCATTTGTTAACTATACCCTTCTTTTATTCTTTCCCCTTCCAATACAGCAAAAACCCACATACACAATCCAATATGTTCCATGCAATGATGCCTGGGAACCCAGGAGCCTTTGACTAAGACTCTGTGGTCCACCATAGTTTATGAAATTAGGGCTCCCTGCTGTAAAACTGGGTCACAAGGTCATTTGTTGGTTCTTGTCCACTTGAGACAGACTCAAGCAATATGTCTGAGAAATGTTTAATTAAAGGTTCTTGTGACTATGGTGACAATATTTTTAAAAATCGTTTTAGTTTGCTGTGAGTTCTCACTGGAATACCAGCAAGTAAGGATAAATGCCCATGAACAAGTGCACAACTTCCTTCTTCATTTACCTTTTCGGGGGCATGAAGATTCTTCCATTTTTTCACTTCAAAATCATCAATATACACATGACAGGCACTCAGGAATAATCTTAATGACACTGATAACTTGCTTAGGATCATATGGGTGTCCTCTAGCGACTCTGACCTGTTCTCATTTGACAGGCAGCATGGAGTAACAGCTGCCCCAAAAATATGATGTTGCTAACCAAGATCAAAATAGTCTCTTTTATATTCAAACCCAACATAAGGTTTTAAGAAAATATTTTGCACAGAACACATCTATAATTTGCAGTCTTTCAGCGGCTTCCTATAATGTGGCAGTTTTGAGTAACAGAGCACATCCCTGATTGGATGATAGATTTTGGAGGTTTGGTAGTATTATGTTACCACTTTTATTAGTAGTAATCCTTAGTTAGTAACATTATCAGTAATTAATAGCACTAGAAGTATGCATGCTTATGTAAATTGGTTAAGTTTACTCCATCTGATATCTATACTGCATTTTTATGTTGGAAGTTTGTAGAGATTCTCAGTCATCCAGGTCCTGGCTGTCCCAAAGGTGCTTTTTCAGGAGGCAACTGGACTTTCTTATTTTTTCTTTTGAAGACATTTTGCTTCTCATCCAAGAAGCTTCTTCAGCTCTGACCATTCCCCACCATCCTGTCAGAGCTGAAGAAGCTTCTTGGGTAATTAGGATTGTCCCATCTCTAAAAGCAGACATTTCTGGAATCTGACTGTTACCTCTTCCCTCCTCAGCCAGCAAGATTTCCCCAGATTTATGTTGGTCACCCAAATACTGCAAGGCCAGATGGTCTGCATGCCAAGTGAATGCACCACTTCTGAATTGTAGCCTTTCCCCTGTGTTTACCCTATCTGAGTCTATCCATCCCTTGACATAGTTTTCTCTGTAATCTGGTCCAGCTGGTCAATGGAAGGCAGAAAGGGAAGTCAGGGCTGTGGCCACAATGTGTTTCTTTTCTGCCAGGGTTAGTTCCCCCCCACCCCGCAAAAACCACCATGATTCCCTCACATGCAGACTATTCCTGGAATGTTATTTCTTCATTCTGTGATTTATTGGGCAAACTGTAGAATCAGGAAAGTTTCCTGTTTGGCATTGCAGGGAGACTGTGTGTAAAAATCTAAGAGATAAAAAGAGAAATTCTACAAAGAGTGTCAATACATACAAGAAGTGAATCCTACCTCCTCATGTTTCAGCTTCTCCAGAGCTGTTGAAATATCTGAGCTTTTTCCAAGAAGGCTGCCATTTTCCTATAAGAGAAAAAAACATTTAGCATAATCTACCAAACTTTTCTAAATAAACAAACTATAATCATAAGAAAACTTATGATTTCAGTATTGATGAAATTGATGAGGCTGATCAGTGGTCTATTTGGACAATAGTTTATATCATGATTAGTAACCTGAAGCACACATGCCACATAAAAACCATGCTGTCTTGGTATACTTATAGTTCCTTATAGAACTAAGGAGATGGTCACATGCTTATAACCCACTTATCTCCAAGAGCACTTGCCAACCTTTAGGAAAAGAGTTTATGAATTCTCATAAAAAATAAAAGAGCTATAATCAGGGTTTGATGCTGTAGTGTTGGCCACAATGACCTAAGTGCTACTGGGATTGTGTTAGCTAGCTAGGGAGACATTACAATTCTAGTTATCAAACTACTCTTCAAGTAACTTATGGTTGTTGTTTTTTGCTGGAACATTCTATATTCTACTAGAGGGGTGAACCTCTAGTCCAAAACATGTCATTAAATTAAATAATATTCATGGTAATTACTGTAATCAAAACAATCGAACTGACTGGGGATTGTAATTAAACAACATCTGGAGGCAAACAGATTTTTTTTTTTTAAATCCCACCTTTATTATTTTATAAGTAACTCAAGGTGGAAAACATACACAATACTCCTTCTTTCCCTCAACAATCATCTTGTGAGGTGGGTTTAGGCTGAATGTGACTGACTGGCCCAAAGTCACCCAGCCGGCTTTCAGACCTAAGCAAGATTAGAACTTGAGTCTTCTGGTTTCTAGGCCATAGGCTGGTGCTTCAACTAACAATTTAAAACCATTGAATTCTAGTAGTAAAAAATATTTTCTTCAAGATGACCCAAACTATTTCAAACAAGCATACTATATTACCAATTCTATAGGTAAGAATTACTTCAATTGCTTTACTAGACATGCATCAATAGAACAAATTTATAATGAAACCTAACATCCACATTTTGGCTAGGGGTACCAATGTTTGCTGGAAGGCTTTCATGAGAAAACTGCAGTCAGGAAAACTGTGGGAAACATGAGGCCCTCTCCGGACAGTAATGAACTTGATTCAAATCTCGCGCGCCCAAACCTGGACAGCTGCTGTAACACGTGTTCAGATATGTTCACAATTCTCCCTAGCTTGCATCTCATCTTTTGACTAGTTATTTGTGTTGGGAAATAATTCAGAGTTGCTCATTAAAAGCACCCCAAGGCAAATACATGTTCAGGAAAGTGCTCAGATATTGGATATTTCTGTCATCAGCTTTAACTACAGTTAAGTTATACTCTTACCTTTGTAGGTTCGTAGGAAGGACTTGACTGACCACTTGCTTCCCAAGGTATCGTCCCTGCTTGTTCCTCCATACCTACCAATAGAAAGAAAATGCATGCTTTGTAATAAACTGCAAAGACTCAGAGAAATCATGAGTTTAAATTATGCTCAACTTTCAATCTCCTGAAAGCATTCGCCCCAGGGTAGCCTTCTCCTGATTCCTCACACCCAAATTAGATGACAGCTTATGTTAAGTGAAGATATATTCTGAAAAATGCTTTAAGCTTAGTTACACTGAATCACATTTTCCTGTTGAAGATAATTAAGGCAATTCAGGAAAGTCTTTGATTTCCTTTCAATCTTTTTGCCACGTAATATTAATCTATGACCTTACATACTGCAGAGTCAAGCTTGACTGCAAGTCATTCAAAAAAGTTATGAAACTAGGTGTTTCCTTGCTCTCTTCTCTACCAAATGCTTTTTGGAAATTCACAAAGTTTGGCAAGGGAAACAGTTTAACGGTGTGACCCCGCTGATTCGTCTCTAGCTGGTTGTTTTGCGTGCCTCCTGGGGCTCTGGATCAACGCTGAACTCAATTCCAAAGGGATGGGACTGACGGTCCTCCAGTTGGGGTATTCTTTCTAGGATGCCAGGCAGTTGCAGAAACCTGGGAAAAGGCGTGGTTTCTTTCAAAAGCTGGAGGCAAGGGCTCTATTGTGAGCTCGGATGCACCATCCCGCAAAAATACCCCAAGTGCCACCTAGTTCTACAAGATGCCAAGAAGAAAAGCATCAAGACAGTAATTCTCTGGATCTACACCCATAATTTATTTTAAATCCGTGTTGAATTGTTTTACTTTTAAGCTCCATAAAGGAGGTTGCTTTTACTACTGGTAGTAAATTTTAATAACTTTTATTTTTCCTCTTAACTTCTTGGGTACACAATTGAAGACTTGTGAGTAAAAAGGATGTAACTACTGTGCTAAACTTAATGCAAAATGGCACAAAATCTTACATGAATACATTGCATGGACAAATGATTTGTTTTTGAGAATAATCTTTAAAACAGCAATGCTATTTGAGGACTAACCCAAAAAGCACAAAGAAATAACATTTGTTAAATGTTAAAACTTACAAAAGCAATAAATCTCATCATGATAGGTACATTATCATTATACAATGGTAATTTTCTAGAGCATTTCCCAGAGCAACAGCCCACTATGTCTTTGCCACATTTTACAGCTGACAATGATGTAATAAATTTTACAGTACTTGGTCCAAGGACTGAGGAAGTGTGGTGGCTGGCACCAACAAAGGCAGAAATCACCCTTGGCATATCATTTGTTTCTCCATAAGAGAAGGCAAAATGACCACCACAGCAAATGGAAACATAAAGATCTTTCGTATTCCGATGCAAAAAAAGAAAAAAATATGGAGATTCTCAGTCAGCCAAGACACGGTTGTCCCAAAGGTGCTTTTTTAGGAGAAAACACCTTTGGGGCAAAGAACACAATACATTTAAAAAACTTGCAAAATCTACAGTACACGTAGACTCAAATATACTGTATACAGCTTACATAGATGCAACTAAGATTCCACTCCCATTAAAAATTCTGTCAAACTCGCTTCTAATATCAAATTAGTAGGACTGTCTTTCTTCCTCTTGTGATCAAAATGCCAAACAGAAAATACCAAGTTCTTGGATAGGGAGATCACCAGAGAAAAAGATTTATAAGGACAGCAATCAGATAGTCAGATGTTCCCTGGTTTACTTAACAACTTTCACAAACAGGAGGAAATAAGCCAAAGAAATCAGTTCACACTCACACAATTCTCATAATCACATTTAAAGATTCAAACGGGGTCAGTAAATACTGTAGTTTTCTCCCTAAACCCAATAGCTGGTTTATTAAGTGATCATCACTTAATATCAGACTATGGAAAACATCACTTAAACATCAAACTATGGAAAAATGAAAAACACTGTCTATACATTTTTGTTGCAAAGAATGAAACATTATTTTACTGTAAAAATTTTCAGGTGATTTGTTCTTTTTTATATCTTTAAATATATTATGATTATGCAATCTGTTGAGAATAATTTGAAACTAGTTTTTCAGTATCATGCAAATGATGATAATGTCAAAGTAACACTTTTATTGAGTTGTTTTCTTATTGTATAGCAAACCAGGCTCAAGGTGTAATGCCAAAAAAGTCCCTGGCTTGGCTATCCAATCAACTGCACTGGACTTAATGCTTCCCAAAGAACATTCCATCAAGACCCCCAAAGATTTTCTAGGAAAGCTATGAAATCCCACTGACTTCCTTATTATTTTGCATTTTCATTGGACTGTTCCTGGGTTTTGTCTTTACAATAAATCAGATTTACTCCTGCAAGCTACCTAGGTTTTTTTTTTTTTTGCCTTTGTAAGCAAGCCAGGGGTCGTCAACCTTTTGAATCTCAGGGACCACCAAACTCCTAATTTTAAATCCCGCAGACCACTAATATGATTTTTGACTGACGGTGGCTTGCTGACGTTTTCCCAGGGTCTTAGCAGAAAGCAGCAGAGACCCTGGAAAAATCCCCCAAAAAGTCTGCAGGTAAAGTCTCCACCCCGTTCTCCTACCGATCAATTATTCTGTATTTGGGATCACAGGATACCATCTCCAGCTCCGTTCTCAGAGGAGGAGAGAGAGAGAGAGACTTTTGGCTTCATGCAAGGAAAGCAGCAGAAGTCTTTCTTTCTCTCCCCCAAACTCCGCCAGAAATGAGTCTTTGTGAGACTTGTTGTGTGGGCACAGCCTCTTGGAGCAGGATGCCTTGCAGGATCCGAAAGACTCATTTCTGGTGGAGTTTGGGGGAGAAAAAGAAATCCTTTTGCTGCTTTCCTTGCATGCAGCCTAAAGCAGAAGAAGCAGAAGAAGCAGAAGAAGCAGAAGCAGAAGCAGAAGCAGAAGCAGAAGCAGAAGCAGAAGCAGAAGAAGAAGAAGAAGAAGAAGAAGAAGAAGAAGAAGAAGAAGAAGAAGAAAGAAGCAGCCCGGTGGCCAGGCAAGGCATTTGGGATGAGTAGGGCAAGTTCCCCCACTCCGCCCTTTCCCCCTCCCCTCACAACCTTGTAGTGTTCACATTGCAAGCGATGCACGCCTTGTGTTCCCGTGCAGCCTGGATTAATTGCTTGGGGTGACATTTCTCTGCGGACCACCAAAATTTTCTCATGGACCACCAATGGTCCCCGGCCCACTGGTTGGTGAGCACTGCCTTAAATGGAAGCTTGTAACAGAAAATGGGAAAAAAGGCTATGCAAAATTATTTCATAAACAAAACATTCCCCAAAACTGACCCAAAGGCTCACATCCTCGTTCCTGGGCCACCCACTCCAAACAAGACTCCAGCCAGTGACAACGACCGCCTATCAGGAATCCTCTGCTGCAAGTCAGGTACAGATTTATCCATCCAATGTTCATTGCTTTATCAACCCTATGAATGAAACTCTTCGGTCTTCAAGGGTTTTCAATGTTAAGGATGTAATATTTGAACTTCTTTATTCCCAACCTTCAATTCAAAATCTTTTTAGCAATTCTTTTGAGTTTTAGCTCAAAATACAATAACACCAAGTTAGGATTGTAATGCCTGGACTTTATTTTTATTGAACATTCTTTGAAGTGTCAGATATACCCAAAACAGAATTTTCCATTGTACTGATTATAAAATCAAAAATTTCTATTGTTCAAGGCCGACCAACTTCCATTGCTTTACAAAAGCACAACATCCATGCTCATCATCCCAAAGCTTATATGAAATTCATGTTAATTATGTTATCAACTTTCTTCAATTTCTTATAAAAATAATTTGCATAGGAGTGTCAATTATTTCAAAGCTTTTAGCAACTGCAGAATTTCAAAATAGCAATTGAACTGATTCCTAATCACCAAATAGTCCAAAGAAGCTGAATGAACTGCTGAAATAATAAACCAAAGCCATTAAAAAAAAGCAACCCTTCACATGAATTTTATCTGAAGTAATGTAAAACATTTAGCAGCAATTTAATTTTCCCATTGGTTCTATGTGGCTAAAATGGTCAACATTCTACCTGCAACCTATTATTGTCCAGATGATCTTGCCAAATTAATTCCAGTCCAAGTTAAGGGAAATGTGCAGGGGTTGAGACCAGCATTCCTTGTTTGATCCCAAGATCTTAATGAAGCATCTGAGTTCCTATGGAGGAAATCCTCAACTTATGAACATGAGTCTGGAATTTTGGTCATACATTGTTGCAGTAAGTTGAGTCATGTGACTGGACTCGATGTTACAAATGTTTACATGACAATCACTAAGTAAGTCACCATGATTAAGTGAATCACCTGGTTTTTAAGTCTGAATCCAGGTTCTCCAATGGGCATTTTTGGCTGGAAAACGGCAAAAAGCCTTGCAAAATGTGATCTTGTGGCCACAGGACCTCTGCAACCGACTGTAAATGCGAGCCATTTGCCAAGTGCCCAAAATGCCATTGCAGGACTGTAGAAGTAGTGAGGCAGATGTATCATCAAGGATGAATCGTGATTTTTTTTTGAGTCCTTCCTAACTGAATGGTTAACTAACGTTTGCAAGTCTAGGACTAATTGTATGTTACAAGTGTTTTATAGATGCCATTACCCACCATGCTGACAGGCTTCCTTGAAGAATGTAAAACTATCTCACACCAAGGTAGAGCCAGGAGACAAACACATACAGTAGAAATACAAAAGACTGTGATTTGAGCAAAAGTCAAAACATTTTTAATTTTCTTTTTCTTGCTAGTCATCGGACTTTGTTTTTTGACATTCTCTCCAATTTCAAATGTAGTTTGTTACATTCGAGGGCGAGAAGGTAACGAAACTAAGGCCACAGGTAGTTTCCCTTGCCTTTGATTTTTTTAATCCGGATCTTACTCCCAACACTAATGAAACATTTTAAGATCATAAGATCCAATGTTAAATTTTCTATTCTTTTTCACAAGTCTATCTCCTTAGAAGCCATTCTGCACTTTCCAGTTCTACTGCTTCTATATTAGAGGTGAGGTGGGTTATATCTTACTTGCTTATTCTGTTTCATGGAGTTCTTCTATATCCTCCAAGACGCTTGGGTACAGTTGTTCCCTGCAAGCAGATGGAGACAGCAACAAATACAATTTTTTAATGGCAACATCCCCACATGAGGGGAATTTACAGGCTCAAAATCCTAAATCTTCCAAGAAAAGCAAACAAACCCACTATCAGACATGATGTTAGCTGTTAAGAGCTTAAATCTCAGGTGATATCAAAATAATTGGGTTGATGTTAAAATTACAATTTAGGTCAGCCCTACACTAGATCATATATTCATTACTAAATGTATACGAACCTCTGAAGGAAGGAGGGAGCACTGGGCAATTCTCACAAAACTCAGCTCAAAGGACTCTTTCTCCACAACCTGTTTCCCAACAGGTCTTAAGCTTCCTAGGCAGTCTGGCTAAAAAGCCCAGCAGGTGAGAATCAAGGAAAGACCACTCCCAAATATCCAATGAGCGCCAGGCCAGGGAAGGCTGCATTAAAGTCCCCTCTCAGAAAACAATACACCTTGGCAACCACACTTAATTCCATATGAAATACTCAGAGCAAATAATGGGGCTCGGGTTATATTCTTAAATAAAGTTCCTTTTAAGCAACTGGTTTCCACCTGGTATGTTAATTACTGTTAGTCTTAAGCATGTTAATGTCTGTGTTTCTTTGGAATACAGTATTTCCGTTCTAGTGTAAATGAGAGAAGCAGCCATCAGTTAATTACAGTGTACTTCCAATATTAAAAGTGCCACCAAAATCAATACCGTAAGATATTCTCAACGCACTCTTTGTCAAATAGTCAAAGACTACTGTGATTGTTTTAAAAACTAAAATTATACCCATATCATCCACTCACACTGAATCTCACGTTAAAATCTGAATGACAGAAAACAAGGAATTAACTTTGGTTGCTAATGAATCCACACTTGCCTTTATTTGGAGGTTTGTAATAGAAAAAGCAGAACACTGTTCTTACAAGGGCAGGCCTATGCCAGATCTTTAGCATCACTAAACAAAAAAGGCTGTAAGCATGCTCTATTTATAGCAACTTTTCCAATTTAATATAATATCCAATCAAAGTTCAATGGATTCAACACAACTACATCAGTTATATCTCAAGGCAATACATTTACAAGAGAAACTCAGAAGCTGCCTGGTGGATCATTACTCATTAGCAACTATGCTGGCTGCAGAAGTGGATTTACTATCAATTCTGCTTTCATCTACCCAACAAGTTATCCAGACAGATTGATCCTTGCTATCAGTTCAGACAAGACTGATCAACGGCTTTATCCAAAACTGCTTCAATGTGCATCATTGAATTTTAACAGATCAACCTGAACAGTCAAACTTCAACGTTCAGTAAAATCCCATAGTACCATCAAAGCTAACACAAATTTTGTATACCATAATTTACTTTGGTAAGTATTTATTTGCAGATGTAAAACTAATTAAAAATGTTTTCATATTTTAATAGTTGGAATTTGCAGCAAACACTGATAAATCTGACTTAGTTCTCAGTTATCAAGATACCTGAAAATGTTTTCTTTCATTTCATTTTAATGTCAAAACTTTTAAAGCAAAGGAACATTTCCCCTTTTAATTGCTTTTTTAATTAAATATTTTCCAATAACAAAAACTGGGATATACACACATATCTTTCCTATCTTGATGTAGAAAAGATCTCCACTTATGTACACTAAATTTAACTAAATTTTTTTTTCTAAAATTAGCAGCATCAAATAACTAGATAACCAACTATGTAGCATCATAAAGTAGTTCTGCTAAGGAAAATTCCTAGGGGAACAAAAAACAATCAAGAAGCTTAAAATAAAGTAAATTTGGTTCACTTAGTCATTTTTCAGTCTGGTTTAGCTGGGATGGCTGACAAGGTCACAATTCAAATAAATAAAAAATTATCCTGAGAAAAAATTCATTAAGCATTTGTTCGTTGCAGGTACTGCTGCTAGAGAAAAAAAATCATACTGTTTTTTTCTGTGTTTTTTATAGTTAAAAAAAAACCTGCCAGCAGCAACTAACATGGCCTTCCTCACATCCCTGTTGAGAAGCAGGTTATTCCCCAGCCCACCAAGTTTATTATTTTTATTGCGTAAATATGCTAGATTTGTTTTAAAATGGTGCATAACATTTTGAGGGACAATACCTAATTTTATGATGTAAGTTATATGCAAACATAATATAAATCATAGCAAGATTATATACACACACATACACACACACGTACTTGTGCCTTAATTTCTTTGGCTTATCATATCTTGCTCCCTTTTTGCACTTTAAATGATATATATCTATATACGAGGGCAATGCTAATACTTCATTTTTAGTTTCTTATTTCATTGTTCATCAGAGTAAAACTGTTTTTTCAGGAAACTATAATCCATTGCTTGAAGTGGCATTTCTGGCTTCCACAATAATATATTCAAAAATTTCATTTAATTTTTTTAAAAAGTCTGCTAACTTACGTGAAAAAAAATACATTGCACAATGGGAAGATAATTCTTTGATCACCATTTCACTGCATGAGAAACCAAGTCATACACATAAGGCTGAAAACTATCTAAATGCAACAAGCCATATATAGAAACCATATACAAAATTTCTGAATTATTTTTAGTCACTCTATGAGTAGGAAAACCAGGAATGTTAAGTGTTATACAACACTACACAGACAAATATATTACAGTTTTAATAACATGGAAGGAATTAATCTAGAAGTCTAAGAATCCTAATTTGAAATTTTACCAGTATAATTCAACATGTAGCCTTCACGATTTTGTTTACCCAACTGCAATACAGGGGTGATTGGTAATATTTTCAAGGAAGGATTGAAAATTGATGCAATTTTTCCCAAGGAATTGCTGACAAATACATCTTACATAATTGATATGAGCAGCTTTAGTATAGAAATTAGCATCATAAGGTACAAAGAGCTAACAGATCTCTGAGCCTGGATTCCTTGAAAGAGGGCAGGAGTGTTCACTGGATTAAATACACATAGTCTAAGACCTAACTAACCTTATTATCCTTCCCTTTTCACTCCTACTAGCTCATATCATCATCTTCTTGCCTTCTCTTTATCCAGGTTTGTCCATCATCTCACTAGTTGCAACAGCTTCCATTTCTTGAAAGTGGCTGATTTGTTTTTGAAAGAGGCTGACTGAAACTTGCAGATGGGGGTCAACTGATTTTGTAGACGGGTATGCTTTGAGAGGCAAATCATTTTATTTAATTGGTTATTATTAATTGATAGCATTTCAAGTGAAATACAAGTGAAATAACATACTAAGCATATTATATGTGGAAATAAAAATCCACTGTTCATTTTATTTTCAAGCTTTTTAAAAAACATATTTCCCCACAATATCACAGTCAGTAGGCAAATACTAGTGATTATTTTGCTATGTTTAATTGAAAGGAATTAAGCCATTAAGAAAACAATTTCACAAATCTATGGCTGCTTAAATTTTTGACACAGTAACTTCTGTGAACATAACTTTAGTATTTAGCGAACTAAAACACTGCTTATGCTGTAAATGTAGCTTTAATAAATCCAATTTCCCCATCTTCAGATGATCAAACTTTCTGCATTTTTCCACAATTACAATCAAAGAAAAAAACATGGAAGTCAGTAGCTGTTGTCATCAAATTTTCAGAGGCACTTGCCTTTTTGTTTTAAAATTAAAAGTTGAAGTTAAAATTACAAAGATTCTGCAAGGGAGTGGATCAGTAGTGGGATTCAAAAAAATTTTACTACCTGTTTTATGGCATGGCATTGGTGGGTGTGGCATGGCAGGGGAAGGATACTGTAAAATCTCTATTCCCTCCTCACTCCTAGGGGAGGGTTATTGCAAAATCCCATTCCCTCCCCACCCCACTAACCTCCTTTCCAGCTCCGTTCTCCTCTGCAGGGCAACCAAAGAAGACCCAGCCAATCAGCTGGGACTCAATGGGAGGCGGAGAAGAGATGGGGTTGGCGGGGCCAGTCAGAGGTGGAATTTGCCAGTTCTCCGAACTACTCAAAATTTCTGCTACTGGTTCTCCTGAACCAGTCAGAACCTGCTGAATCCCACCTCTGGAGTGGATATGACAAAATACAAGTAAAGTTCTCAGGGAGATTAAGGGTATCCAACTTTATCCAGGACCACACCACTATCCTACAGTGCTCTCCATTGTAAGAAATCGGGAGAGGATCGAAAGTGCCTGTCATAGGTAACAGAAAGCTAATGTGGTTAATTCTATTGGATAAGAAATAAAAACTGCAGGGTTCTGTAACAAAACATAACACATGCAAAACATAACACTTGCTTAAGAACAGACTCATCCAACTCTTTTAAAATTTCAATTATCTGTTCTTCTCTGGGAACATTTTCATCTCCTCAAGTTCTGATTTGTTAAAATGCACTTCATACACTAACTTTAGAAGATTAATTCCAGACAGAACTGTTTTTCACATAAAATTGATTTGGGAATATTTTCCCCATCTGACAGAAGTAGTTTGTTGTACCTACTTAGTCGCAAAGAATTTAACATGTCAAATACAGGTGGCTCCATTTTGGCTGTTATCTTCTTAGGGTAAGTGAAGCAAGAATGCCCCACACAAATGAATTGGTCCAGCGATTGTGGTAAATGAATGCAGCTACTGTATATTGGACAGACTCCACAATCTAAACCAGGGGTCTTCAAACTTGACAGCTTTAAAACTTGTGGACTTCAACTCCCAGAATTCCTCCTCCAGTCATGTTAGCTCTGGAATTCTGGGAGTTGAAGTCCACAAGTCTTAAGCTTGCCAAGTTTGAAGACCCTTGGTCTAAACACTTCCAACAGACCCAAGGGATTGTTATTTATAACTTCATTATCTACGGGTTTACACTGGCACAGCACTCCTGCAACTAATGCTGCTGGTAGTGAAATGAGTTTATAAGCTCTAATTGAGACTTTACTTTTGGGATGTTATAGCCTGATAAGAATTTCTCTGGACATAAGAATTATGTGTAAGACTACTTAATTGCTTTTCTGATCTGTTTTCTAGTGCAAACTGACTATAGTTCTTGACTTACAACAGTTTGTTTAGTGACCATCTGAAATTTCCATGGCACTGAAAAAAGTATGACTTTTTCACACTTACGACCATTGCAGGATATGCCCAACACAGACTGAATACTCTGCAGAGTTAAATGTAAATCTATGGTAAGATGGGTGGCCAATTAATTTTACAAATAAAAATTATTGCACTGTCTAGGGGAGATCGGATATAGGCCAATCAATTTCCAACACACTATTGAGGCCTTCTTGTCCATTCAATTTTATCTGAAGGGGCAAAAAAAAAAAAGAAATACAGTCCAAGAAATACAGATTATAGTATGAAAGTATAAGAAATTTTGAAGTTTTCTCCAAGGAATGTCTTTCGGAATCTGTTTTACGCTCCCCACTTATGAGGAAAAGATAGCTCATCGTATAGACTGAGTGATACAGGATGCGTGTTAATATTAAGCGTAATATAATAAAAATGTAGACATTAAATTAAGTATCACTTAACACTCAAATTGTAATAAGACTAATAATATTGAAACCATTAAGAGATAAACACATTTTATGTCAAAGCTGGCAAATCCCAAACACAAGATATTCAAATCATACCTAAAAATGCAATTGCAAAGTGCTGTCAGAACCATAATATGTTAAAAGGAAACAATTTGGCCAGCCAAATTTGCAATATCCTTTATAGAATATCTCCCTTAAAAATTGGCCATGAAGCACCTGCCACAAAAAACTGAAGCATGCTCTTCAATGAGCAGAAAACTCACTTTTCTAATTTTGCTAAATAACAAAGACATCCTAATATTACAAAGATAAGAAACAGAGAAACAACTTGATTCAGCAAAAATACATCTTCTCCCTTCAGAAGCAAAGAATCTTTGAACTACAAATCAGTTGGCAATTAATTACCTGACATAAACTAGATTTCAGGACCCAAACTAAGCCAATTGAGTTCTATAGCTATATACCCAATTGCAAATAAAATTATTTAATTTTCAGGAAATAATTACAATAATTCATTCATGATATCAAAGACGCTGGAGACAATGACCTGAAAAAATAAAGATAAGAGGGATAGAAAAAAGTTGTGCTATAATTTTAAAATTACACAAATACAATTAAAAGCTTAATGGGGCAAATTACACTGTATAGATGCACTGCATAGCATAGCAAGTTAAAGTGCTGAATTTTTTTCGTTTAAAAATAGAAATGAGTTTTTGATTCCATGTAAGCATTGTATTAATATTTAACATGTGCTCCTAAAACTGAGTACTGATATTTGATTTTGTCAAGTACAGTTTTCAGATTATAAAATTTTTGAAGTCACAAAATCCATCAATTATCCAAAATGTTAAAAAGAATTTGTATGTAGTAGGGCAGGAAAAATTGACATGCAACTTTTAAAGTTAATATTCAGCATACAAAACATATGTGCAAAGTTTACCATAAGAAAAATTAAGATTTGGCAAGGAAGTCACTAAATCAACTCCAACAAGGTATGCTGTATTACAATTAGATCAGAAACGTAATTTCTTGAAATAAAGTCCCTCCTATAGTTATATAAAAGGATGATTATGAACTTTAATAAATTAAATGTTAAAATTTATGCACATATTGATTTAACAGAAGCATTTGCTCTTTTATAGAAAGTAAATGGAAGGATTGAAAGAGAAAACTAAGGATATCACTCAACCAACACATGCAAGTTTGCAGCTTTGTTAATTTTCACTGCAATTTCTAGACAGATAATTCTTTCTGTGTCAAGAAAAACCGAAAACCCTAATTATCAATTATTTCTGCTTCTGACGCTAACGATTAAATTTACCTCAACATATCACCAAGTAGATAAAGCAGCAGCACATTTAGCAACCATCACTTGACTTGGGCTAAGATGGTGAGCTTTACTAAGGCTACAATGCGAAGACCGTTTGTGCACCCCAGGACCAACCTTTTCCGCTTCGTTTGTCCTGGGCTGCACACCTAGGCAGGGTCCCCTCCCTCCCCGCTGGGTCCCCAGCAAGTGGGGGGAGGGCCCCCCTTCGAGAGAGAGAGAGAGAGGGAGAGAGGGAGGCGCTGGGCTGGGCTGCCCCTGCGGCCCGCGTGCCGAGGGAGCAAGTGCCGACAGCAGCACCGCCGGCCCTCCCTCGGCTTACGGCTCTCCTTCTGCCGGCAGTTCCACGTCCCGCGCTCGCTCGCTCGCTCTCTGCTGGCCCAGCCCAAGCGGCGCTTTTCTCCTTGGGAAAGCGCCCGGAAGCCTTCCCGCCATCTCGGGGGGTTGTGCTACTGCCAAGCCGGGGAGTCCTGGGCTAAGCCCCCCCCCCCGGGCCGCCGCATCCTTGCAGCGCCGGAAAGCGAAGGCCGCCTCGGGAAGGCCGCCGCACGCCCAGCGCCTCGCGGGGCCGTGAGGAGGAGCGGAGCGCTGAGAAGGCTCTCCCCGAGGCCGACGGCCAGGAGGCAGCTGGGAAGCTCCGCTCAGCCGTTGAACCGCCTGTTGGTGGAATCGGGGCCCCAGAAGACGGTCGCCCGAAGGCAAGGCCCGGCGGAAAACCCGAGCGGAGCCACCGGAGCAGCTCTCCGAAAAGACGCGCCGAGGCTCTTCCCGCCCCGCTCGCCTCCTGTGCCCGCACCCCCGGGGCCTCGGCGCAGAGCCGCCCTGGCCCCTCCGCCAACGCCCCACCCTCCGCCCGCAGGCGCCTTCCCGCACGGCCTCACCTGCCCCGCCGAACCGGCTGCTCCCCAGCGTGGTGGGCCGGGCCTTCCCGCTGTTCACGGGGGGCGAGAACATCTGCAGGGGAGACAGAGAGAGAGGGAGAGAGAGAGAGACGCGGCTCCTCAGCGGGGGCGCGGCGGGCTTCGAGGGGAGCCGCCCCCGCCGCCCGCGCCGGGCCTACCGCGCTGAAGTCCAGCAGGTCGCTCAGCTCCTTGTCGGTGCCGATGGCGGCCAGGCGCTGCTGCTGCTGCGGGTTCATCTTGGCCTCCGCCACCTGCGGGACGGGTACCGGCCGTCAGCGGAGAGGCCGCCCTCGCCCCGCCGCCCGCTCCGAGGGCCCCGGCGGCCGCGAGAGGCCGGCGACGTGGCCTGTCTCTCCCAACCGGGCCGCCGCCCCCCCCGGTGGAAAGCGCCGCCTCCCCCGGGCGAGTTCTGGGGAGCCGCAGCACGTCGCGCCGCCTTCCCGGGATCCCTCCGCACGGGGTGGGGTTTGGCCTTGCCCCGCCCACCCGAACCCGGCCCGCCGCGGCAACAGCGCCGGAGAAAGGCCCGAGGGCCGCTGCCCGGGTGGAGGCGTAGACGCCGCGGCCGAAAGGCGGCGCCACCACCGAGGTCGTGGTGGGCGGGGACCCATTCGGCCGGAGCCGAGGTCACACCTTCGGACGCTTCGGCGGTGCAGCCGTGACCACCCACGCTCTCCCCCTCCTCCCCCACAGGCCACCCGGCACCCGGCTCGCATTACGCTCTGATCCCGGCGCTGAGTGACGGGGGCCGTCGGACGGGACGGACGTCTTGGGCGCCCGATAGAGGCCCCGCCCCCTCCCTGACGCGCCTGCGTCGCCCGCCCCGAGCGTCACGGCGCTGATTGCGGACAGCGTCTCGCAGGCCAAGCCAGCCGGGGGACGGAGGGGGGGCGGCGCTGTTTCCAGGGATGCCCCGCGACCGCGCGCGGGAAACAAAGGGCGGCGCACAGCGGTTCCCCTCCGGACCTCCTGGGAGCCTCGCGGGTTTGACGCGCGGGGAGTTGCCGGCCGCGTCGCTTTTCCCCGCCGGACCGGCTGGCGTCTCCGCCGCGATCTAACGCGGGACGGGCGGGCAGAGCGGCCGGGCGCCGCTACCGCCGGCCACGTGGGGCGCTCGAGGGGAGGGGCCTCCGCGCGTCCCGCCCCCCCCACCGCGCGTGGACCGGCCGCCGCCCTCGCTCCACCGCCCGACCGCCGTCCCCGCCACCCCCCGGTAAGCCCGCCGCCGCCCGGCGTAGTCCGGCAGGGGAGGCGCCCGGCGGCCCCGCCATCTTGGATGGAGCGCGGCCTTCGAGCGGGCCTGGCGGGCGGGGGCGGTGAGGGTCGGGCGGGGGAGGCGGGAGGCCCGGGGAGTGGCGGTGGGGGCGAGAACTTTTCCCCGGCGGGCTCGCTGCCGGCGTAGACGGGCCTGGGGCGGGAGATCGGCGGGCTCCCGAGGCGGGGAAAGCGAGGGTGGCGGGAGGGTCGCCAGGCGGGTCACGCGGGGCCCGGCGGCTCCGTCTCGTCCAGGCCGGAGTCTGGCTGGGAAGCCCCAGAGAGGGAAGCGGAGAGCGGGGACCTCGGGCGGGCGGGAAGGGCTCGCTAGGCCGTGGAGGCCCCTCTGCGCGTGGCTCTCCCAGGAGATGCTGGGCCAAAGGAGCAGGAAAGGCCGAGGCTTCGGGACCCGGAGGCCGAATCGGGAGCCCCCCACCTGCTTCGCCTTCCCGGAAGGGCTTTCCTGGGAGAGGCTTTTGCCCTGGACGTGCTCCGCGCTGCCTCTCCTAGTCCGAAAGCCGCCGGTGCCGGTGCCGCCTTTCGCCTTGCCGAGGGTGGCGTTATCCAAGGCCGCCTTCTGGGAAGGAGGTTCCCGGCGGGACCGCAGAGCTGCCTGAGTTCTAGGCAATTCTTTGTGCGGGGCCGGCCTGAGATACCGAGGAAAGCCGCGTTTGCCCCCGACTTCCCTTCAGGGGAAGCTTTGTTCGGCTGCCGGGCGAGAGGGGCTGGGCTGGGCCCGGGGAGAAGGCGGGGGCTGCCTCAAGTGTCGACGTGGGGTGGTCAGCCTGCCTTAATAAATGAAGCTCGGTGTAAGCCCTGGCTGGCTTTCATGATTCGGAGGAACCTCTGAAGCTGCCCCGTCTGCTGGGTGGAAGGAGAGAAAATGGCCCGGGGGGGGGGGGGTCGGGGCTCCTGAGGCCTCGCTGGGCCGGCCCTGCAGCTGGGCCAAGCGCGGCTTTAAAGCAAGGAGCGCAGCCATGTCAGAACCAGGCCGCTTTCCAGACTAGAAGAGCTGGGCACCCGTAACAGCCGCCTGTTCCACCTGCTGCTGTTTTCACCCTCCAGTTCCACAATGGCGGAGCTTTTCATGGAATGCGAGGAGGAAGAGCTTGAACCCTGGCAACAGAAAGCGAAGCCCATTGTTGTTGATGACGACGACGACGAGGATGACGATGACGAGCCTATCTTTGTTGGGGAGTTCTTGAGCTCCAAACCAACCAATACCTGTAAGGGGCTGTTTTGAATGGGGTGCACAAAAGGGAAAGAAGAACAAAAGTTTAGTTGCCGCAGCCCACCAGGCAGTTGCTGATAGGCTAGTCGAGGTTAACTTGCATGTCTGTCCCAGGTGGGTTCACTTAAAAACCTTCTTGAACTGGTAGGAATCATAGCATAAATGTAGTTTAATTAAACTGGGATAATTGATTATGATGCTCTTGGATCCATTCTTGGAACAATTGCAACTTCTTTCAGGAATGAGGAGACTGTAAACACTTTAAGAATTAGTGCAACTTCACAGTGAGATGTTACTTTCCTTCTTTAGGTACATACTGATAAATTCCCTTGAGCATATTTTCTTTCTCCTTTGTTTTCTGAAAGCAGTAATGATCATTTTTAACAGATATATTGAACAGAGTTAATCCGAATTCAACACGAATTGGAGTGCAGAATGGTGCCCCCAAAAGAGGTATGATGTCCTCCAGCGATGCCAAACGTTGAAGTCCCCGAATGCCTCTGAGTCTAACAGTGTGTCATCTTCTGTTTCCTGGTTCTCATGGCAGGTGCTGTGGCTGTTTCGCCGGGGTTTCTCTCTTCGGGCAGACCTGCAACAAGCACCCTAGCTGTTCAGCCACAGCCACGCGTCAGCAGCATCTCAGGATCATCTCAGGTCTTGCAGAAGCCACTTTCAGGATGTTCGTCACCGCAGGAAGGAGCTAAGTCTAGTGCTGGGATCTCCCAGCCCGTCAGTATATCTGCCCCTCCCCAGTCCTTGTCACGGAATCTCCATATTCCTGCGTCAACCCAGTCTACGTCCAGGCCAGTGGCCACCGTAACGGCACAGCCTGTTGCACTGAACCGGGTAGGTTTGGAGTTTCCCCACAATGCCAGCAGCGAGAGTCCCCTGAGCAGTGAGGGCTGCTGCTTACCATGTCGTGGAAATAATCATGTTCTGAGCACATGGGGCAGTTGACAGAGGGGGGCAGCAGCACTGAGGACCCTGGGCCAGTCGGAGCTTTGGAAATGGGGAAGGGCCTGGCAGAAAGTGCCTCTTGCCAGAATGGAACCCTTAAAAGGGTAAACCTGGGGGCTCTGTGTGGATCTTTTGAGAGTCCCGTGGCTGAGCTATTGAACACATCCTTCGCAGGTGACCCCAGATAGAACTTCAGGCCTGACCTTTGGCGTAAGGCAGAATTCAGGAGGGTCCCAATACCAGAGCGGATCACCCATGAACACTGCAGGTATGCCTAAGTCAGGTTTTTCCTTTAGCATTTTGATTTATGCAAAAACGGGGTTTATAAAAAGGGGTGGCCAGGCTCATAATATTTAGTTGGGGATTGAGGGGTCCCTGCTGTTTTCTGAGCATCGTGTTTTCTTGGAGATGTTTCCTTACACAACTAGGTAACTTCCACACATGGGGTTTACTCACAGTCAGGGACCATCAAATATTGTGCAAACTTCTGAGGAAAGCTGAGGGTGTACCTCAGGAATGCTCTTCTTTGATATCAATAACTTTGAAATCAGGCATGGAGGGCCTTCCTAGCATGGCAGTCCTGCTGAACAAGGTAATAGGTGTGGCTTCTGAGAAAAATGACTTTGATTGCAGTGTGAGCTGTGTCTGGACTAATTTTATGCCTTTAGGGTCACCTGGCCTGCAATTTGAGAGACTGAGGAGTAATTGGCTATGAAAAGCTACCTAAATTTAAATTTTAAAACATTTCTAGGGTTGTCCAAGCGTCCCTCCACTTCTGAAGCCAGTAGTATCACTCCCAAAAAGGCCAAGGCTAGCGAAACAGGCTCTGAGAGTGAGTCACCTCTCCTGTCCTCTGTTAAACGTCCAGATGACCTGGTCCTACTTGAAAAAGGTAAGACTACCAAGAACCTGCTGGAATGTCTTGTTTGGGGGGAATCTTGTCCGAAGGTATTTGAAAAACTATTCGGAAATACTTAACAAGAAGGGGAGGGCATCATAGCTTGTGATCCGAAGGAATCCATGTAAGGGATTCATTCACCTCCAGAGAATGGTCAGATGGATTAAAGAATGCTTTTGGATAATGAATTTAATGTATCTGCCCGATGTACTCAAACACACATTAAATAATAACATATCCCTTTCTTTTTTTTCCATAGATGTTGCTTCAAGTAATATTAAGAATGGAGCCCCTTTTCCACAGGCGTGCCCAAAATGTAATATTCATTTTAACCTTTTGGAGCCTTTAAAAAATCATATAAAGGTAAATATCTTTGGGATGGAAGTAAAATACAATTATAGATGTAACATCGAGTCACTTGGCATTTCTAAACAAAATCTGGGACTGTTTTATTCTATTTTGTATTCTTAGTATAGATTGGACCTAGATAAAAGTATATTAATTTGCTAACAATTTGGGATTATCAGTACTTACAATTGATATTGATAATATGTTTTAATAGTCTTCTGAACTCGAGATACCTTGTTTTGCTAAAAGCCTGCAAAGACATCTTGATTAGCTTCTCAGCATTTTCCTAACAATTCAGCACTTTTGTTCAAAATTTATGGTAGTTGTTGATCTTTTCAGTATTGCTGTCCTGATATGGTGCACACCTTTTCGGGAATAACCAAAGCAGACTGCTCAGGTATATCACCTAAAATTGCTGAAGCAGAAACAGGAAAATTGATCATGTTGGTTAATGACTTCTATTACGGCAAGCACGAGGGGAACCTCCAGCAGGTGCGTCAGGAGCAGAAGACTCACACCACTTTCAAGTGTTCCAGCTGCATGAAAGTCCTCAAAAGCAACATCAGGTATTTATAGACTGGAAGAGGCACAGCTCCGACCTGGAGCTTAGGGAGCAGCTGGAGTGGAGGGTTGCAGGCCTGAGCAGTGCCTTGCTTAAGATGTCATTCTTGTTTATTTTTAGTTTTAGCAGAACTGATTTTGCATTCCTTCAAAGAGTTCTGCTAAATAAACCCAAAAGAATCACAGCCAATAATTGAACAGATCTAAATATTAAAAAGTTGTGTTTGGAGAATCAAAAGGCCGATAGCCAGGTCCCAAAGAAAATGGAATCTTCCATAATTGGGGTGCCAGAACTCCTTCAGCTGTCCAGCCTTGGGGCCTCCTGATCTTTTCGCTTCATACCTGGAAGTCCCCCCAGTTTTCATCAATTTCAAATGGATGAGCGATTGTGCCAACATGCTTTAATGTACTACTTTTCTGGTCCTTTGGGTTCTTCTCACCTGGCAGAAGAATTCACCATTTACTATGGTAAAGGTTTTCCCTGGAGCCAGCAGCCAGAGGGGTATCCATTGACAACATGTGCCAAACGGAAGGGTCCCTCTATCCCTCGGTGCGTGGAATTAAAGGTTTCCCTTTAAAAGCGGCTGCTTGAACTGTGAACTGTTCCTCTCAGATTTATGAACCACATGAAGCACCATTTGGAACTTGAGAAACAGAACAGCGAGAGCTGGGAAAGCCACACCACCTGCCAGCACTGCTACCGCCAGTTTCCTACCCCGTTCCAGCTGCAGTGCCACATTGAAAGCACCCACACGCCTCACGAGTCCTCCAGTGAGTTCTTCAGGGGGGGAAGGGGAGGGGGGAGGGAGAAGGCAAAACAATCCACAGACAAGGACCTTGGTAGACTTTGGGTTCCTGGGGCTGAACCGAATTTAGAAGTTCTCAGCCGTCTGTCCATTGGGGGAGAAAGCAATAATATCAACCTCACCCCGCCCCCCCAGACTTAGCTTTTAAAGTAAATACAGTTCAATCAATTAAAATAATTACCCTGTCACATCTATGTCATGAATAATATTCATTTGTTTGCTTTCATTTAGAAGCCAAATTATAGATAGTAATTTGATTTACGGCCACAATTGGGACCTGAACCTGGGCTTCCCAGGGCCTCCCACCTCGCTGCTGGTCTGACTGTGCAGCTTCTCCATTGCCTCCCATCTCTGGGGCTGGTTGAAGGAATCCAGCTGCCCTCCGTGTGTGGAAGGGAGCTTCTTTGGTGGGATGCAGGGATGTACCTGCAAACAGATTGCCAAGCACCCAAATTGCCCTCCTGTGACCAGAGGGGCCCTATGGGCTATAGAGCACCCTTGGAGACTCCTAGCAGAATTACAGGTCTCGGTATGGTGTCTCAGACTTCATTTGCTGCTTATTTTCCTTTTTTAGCTATTTGCAAAATCTGTGAACTCTCTTTTGAAACTGAGCAAGTTCTGCTGCAGCACATGAAAGACAATCACAAGCCTGGGGAAATGCCTTATGTCTGCCAGGTACTCCCAACTCCCCTCCCCCCTTTCTTTTTTTGCTTGCACATGTTTGTCTACGTTTCCTTGTTCATAAGAACAGATGTTAGAAGTAAATATTCCCCTCTTCTTCTTTATATTGATATTTAGGTTTGCAATTACAGATCATCAGCATTTTCGGATGTGGAAAAACACTTCAGATCCGTTCATGAAAACACAAAAAACCTGCTTTGCCCATTTTGTCTAAAAGTTATTAAAATTGGGGCACCTTACATGCACCATTTCATGAGGCATCAGGTAATATTCGTAACCTTTAAGGAAGGCAAACGGGGACCAAAGAATAGTTAATCCCCACATCCACCTCATAGTTCTTGTCCCCAGAAGGTGGTCGCCATGCTTCTTCCCCCAGGCTGCCTCTGTAGCTGTTGCCCGTCTTGCCCAAGACCTGCCCCAGAGACCTTAGGCACAGCTAATGCCGGGCAAAGCGCCGACTGGCCGAAGCAGGGAAGGCACGGCTAAAGCAAACCATGGGATGAGAGGCTGTTGAGCTTTGCAGCTTAGTGTGAATGTTTTTGAGATGGAATGCTGAATGTCCATAAATCCCCTTGCAGGCATTGTTGCAAGTGGCCACAATTTTTATATTTTCAGATCCTCTTGCAATGTTGCATTGTGAATTCAGTTCAGTGATCTGTCTTATTATTCTGGGATGAGCATCCAAATGCCCTCCTTTTGTTTTCTTTTCCTGAAGAAAAAAGGAATACATCGTTGTACCAAATGTAGACTACAGTTCTTGACCTGCAAAGAAAAACTGGACCACAAATCTCAGCATCATCGGACATTCAAAAAACCTGTGCAGTTGGAGGGCTTGCCTCCAGGAACCAAAGTAAGTGGGGTGGGGTCTTTCCTCTGCCTGCCCAGGAAGTCGGTGGGGCCTTGTCTGGCCGCTCCCCTTGGGGAAGCTCTGCTCTAAGGACTTGCTTCCCGCAGCTCTTCCAGGGGAATGCCTGCTGCTTTCGCTTTTGCTTCTTCTTTGGGGGTGTCCCATGGAAGGAATAGGCCCATTACTTTGCTTTTCACTTGTCATGATACCAAAAATCTCTGGATTCTTTTGGCCACATCCACCCTTCCCTTTTTGGAGGCTCCGGCGGAACGGAGACTTTTTGAGATGGTGTCTTGCTCCTGGTAGATGAAGGGAGGCGTTGCTTCTCGTGTAGCAGACCAATGATCGGATTCTAGCTCCTGTTTGGTTTGACAGGGAGATCCAACCCCAGAATGTGGCTCTTCTGTGGGTGATGCATGAGGATGCTGAGGCCCTCGAAAAAAGCCGGGTTGGGGTGGGGGGAGGGGAGAAAGGAATGGTTTGCTTTGATTCTTGCTCTGCTGAAATTGGATGGAGAGCCTTTGGCCACCTGGCTCTCTTGCGGCATCCGGAGAACATCGCGGTCTTGTGCTGTGGCTACTTTTTACTTTGCGTATTTAAAAAAAAGGATTGCCCAAATTCCTTTTGAAATCCGAGCAGGCAGTTCAGTGCTGGCTTTTGTGAGGCAGAGAAAACTGAAAGAGTCTCACATTCTAGGTTACAATTAGAGCCTCATCTGGGTCTCTTCAACCTGCCTCTGTGATGGCGTCTCCTGTGAGCACAAACACGTCCACCTTGCTGTTGTCTCCTGGAACAAAAGCAGCGAACAGCAAAGCTCAGAACAAGCCGACTGCCAGTTGCAAAGGAAAGGCCAAGCTGAAGCCGCTGAGCGTGCAGAAGAAGCAGGTCCTGGGGATGAGCAGCAGCGGGGGAAGCAAGAGCCACAGCAGTAGCAGCAGCAGCAGCAGCGGCGGTGGCAGCGGTGGCGGCAAGAAAACCAATAAGGTTGCAAATACAGCGCTAAATAACCTAAGGTAACTCTTTTCAGGGGTTGCTAGAAGCTATTTAGAAGCCTTACAGCACCTGGGGCTTCTGCAGGTCCAAATGGCCACTGCATCTGGCTCCCCAGTTTAAGCCAAGCAAGTCTTGCCTAACAGACAGTGGCTTGACCTGTGAATTAGCTTACTCTTTGATAATTAATTGTGATGTTGATTGATCGTAGGTGTCTCAATATTCAGAAATGCATTGAATGTTGCTCAGACATCCGGACTTTTGCAAGTCACTTCCCGGCGTATGTGCGCTGCAGTTTGTGCAGATATGCCACCAGTTGCAGTAAAGCTTATGTGAACCACATGATGAGGTAAGAAACCTTAAGATCTAGTCTGGGTAAGAGGGACAGAAAGCCTTGAGATGGCAAAGCAAGGAGGCTCTGTGCTGCCAACTTCACTGCTTAGCCTTCCAGCTAGCAGCTTCTGCCTGGATTGAGTTCAGTTGTTTAGATACACGATCAGCTGCTGCTCACAGTAAAGTAAACTACCTTAATCCCCAAGTACAAACATTGACAAAGTAAAACCCCTCGTTTCCCTAACCTGATTCCCTGTTTGGCTGCTTCTGACTGAATTGCACCATTTGCCCTGAAGGCTGGTGTGGAAAAACACAGCTGGGACTGTATCAGAATGCCAGGGCTGCTAGAATCTCTTCTCAGGTGAACCTGGGTTTTGGGTTTTTTTTTTACATTTCTTGTTAATTGTGTCAGCACAGAATGTGCTTCAAGATGCAATACGCAAACCACGTGACTGTAGCTTTTTTAATGTAGTATATTATATGGTAGAAACAAGTCATTTCTTTCAGGAATTCAATTTAAGGTACTCTGTTTCTTTGTAGCTTTCATAGCACTCGCCAAACTAAAAGATTTTGGATTTATAAAACACATTCAGATGAACTGAGGTAACCATCTTTTAATTTTTCTTTTTTAAGCTGTGTACTTTTGATAGTGTGCAGTGCCATTCTAGCTACTTCCACGGAAGTACAGCATCAGGTCCTCACTGGCACTGCTTCAGCATTGCAAGACTATTGGCCCCGGGGCCCCTGTGGGGTTGTGAGGCAAGTAGGGGCCAACAGCAGTGTAGACCTCCATGGTAGGTATTTGTAGAGCTCAAGTCTCTCCAATGGCTTTCTCCCCAGGGGCACCACTGTGGTTTGTCTTAACTGTGATTTCTTGACGGAGGATTCTGGCTTGGACAAGATGGCCACCCACCTTAATGAAAGCCAGACTCACACTTGCCAAGTGATTGTAGAACAAGGTAGGTGTTTCTGGGGCCTTGGCTCAAGATCTTGCAATGAAACACTGGTGTTACCTTGAATATTGAATTCTCTTTTTCACTTTTAGTTCCAGTGGATGGCTTCACTGCTGCTGCTGTTTCAGGGTGAGTTTTTGTGATATGTAATTGTTTGGTCTGCTGGATGGAATTGAAGGCTTGCTACTTCCTTATGTAGACAAAGGCTGTGGAAAAAGCAAGTTTGGCTGTGCTGGTTAGATAGAAACATCTCTTTTTTCATGTTCTGTTAACAAGCGTGGAACCTCCCCTCTTTAATGGTGCTTAGGATCCCTCCCTCTAATCTGGAGGTTTTGAAAATAGCTGAACCCGGGCCAAAGGTATTTGCCCTCTGAAAGATGGCGCAAATGATGAGCAACTTCAGGGCTGGCAAATGCTTTGCATCCCGAGGGCTCACTGGTGAAGCCTTTGCTGGCCCACAAGTTGCACTGAAAATTAATGATGTGGTGGGTGCTATGCCAATCGTCAGGGAAATAGGTTTCACTTTTCACTGCATCAGCCAAGAAGATACCAGGTACCAGCAATTTCTTTGAGCAAAAAGCCTTTGAAAAGTTAAATTGGATTACAGAAACTGATGAATGCATCTGGTTTTATAAAAGACGCATCTTTCTCACTATCCACTGAAAGGAATTTCCTAAACAGTAGAAATGAATCTTGGTGATGTGATAAGCTATTTAGAAGTCAATGCACCTGAATAATATATCCTCGGGTATAGGCTGGGCTTGAAAATTACTGCAGAAAAAATCTATGCTGTGAGTGACAGATAGAGGTCTTGCCTTTTGGGCCCAGAGCGTTCCAGAATGGCCTCCTTGTTTGGTCAAGATACACTGATGGAGCTGAAGGCTTCCTCACTCCTCTTGGTTGACCTGTTACAACCACAAAGGTGTGGTGAGGTGGAGGCAGTCATTCCTTTCCACTTCCCTCCCCAACTCTTCTTGTTTCTTCGCAGGAGTTCTAGAATAAGCAGATGAACATAAAAGCAGCCCTTGCCTGATGTAGCAAAGAAGAACCTGAGATTGGCAAAAGCAGCCGCGTGGCCCAACTGAGGCACTCTAGGCTGTCCCTTCCCTTGCCTTTCTTTGCTTCTGTGCTTTGTGGGAGCAGGTGTCCTTGCAACTCTGTTCCGCTGCAAGAGAACCTGCCCCTGAGAGACAAGGTGGAGGTGTTGTAAGCCCCTCTCCTCAAAGGGGCAACTTTAGCAGGTCCTGCTTCTTGGGGAAAGGGTGGGCAGAGAAGCAGGTGTGGCTGGACATCTTTTCTGGCTTGAGCTTGCAATGGAGTTGGACACCTTTTAGGTGGGGTTACCAGGAAACGTAGCTTGCATTCTTCCATTCCAAGTGTAAAAGAGTACAGAGAGGTTGTACAAAAAGGTTACAAACCGTTGGGATCCATTCCCAAAGCCATGGGTTTTGTGCATGCCATCTACTTAATGCACCAAGACAAATATCCCAGGTCTTCACACCCTTTCGCCACTTCCTGAGGGTACATGGCAGCCCCAAAGAGCATAAGCAGTGGGCTTTTTTCGGTAGGGAGAATCACACCACTCGGGGTCACCTTGACCAAACCACGGACCAGAGACAAATAACAGGCAGCTCCATGGCGGTTGTTTTGTAGGAAGTGAAAGAATCAAACAACTCTTTGTGAAGATCTTCCAAATTTAAAAGTACATGCTAGTGTGTTTTCATTTTAGTTTTAGACAGCATATTATCAACAGTAAAGCTAACCAGTGTTGTTTTGTCCTTTAGCCTAGCAAAGGATGCATTATTGAACAATGAAATCGAAGAAAAATCAGAGGTAGTCCCTTTTTTTGTCTTAAAACTTTTATATAGCCATATATATTGAAAGTGTTTAGTAGATGATGTGTATTTTCAGCCATAATAGTTAACTCTTAAATAACCCACAGGGCACTAATACACAGCTTTCAAACACAGTACCCACTTTTAAATATTTAGACGATAGGTTTTAAAAATGGTAATCATATTCTTAATAAGGAATTTTTAAACAACAGCCTTTTCCCTCTCTGTGTCAGTAGCACAGTGTTCTAATTACATCTTTTAGTGTGGAGGAAGAAAAACCTCAGACCTGGCTGCAAATTGGCCCAGGCCTTGAAGGTTGCTGGAATCCATTCGTGTCTTGCAGAGAGGAAGGTGCAGGAGGGAGGGGGGGGATTTCACCTCAGAAGGAAGCAGGAAGAAAACAGCAGTGCTGAATGTAAACATCTGGGGCAGGATTTGGTACCACCTGTTGCTTAACCTGCTTGGGAGTGCGTCCCATCCCCCAGCCGCACACCATTTCTGCCTGTCCCAGTGCACGCTTGCTCTTTTCCCTCCCTCACCAGTCTAGTCCATTTGCTTTGTCTCCATCTACCCTGGAGCAGTTACTTCCATCTGGCTTACTTTTTATCATGTTGCTGATCTCAATCTTGGGTGCCTCCACACCTGCATGTTTCCTTCTTGTGTTTCTGTGGCAGTGCTGGTCTTTGGTCCGTCAGGGATCCAGCTTCTGTGGGCTGCATTTATTCGTGGATTAAATGTGAACCTTGAGGGAAAATACGACAATGCTATGTAATATATTGTGCTCTTTTCTTTTAGACGCGTTTGGTGCCCACTGTGTGTGAAGAGCAAGGAGCAGCAGGCATTTCAGAAAGGTAAAGTTCGATCTTTCACAAACTAAAGTGTGAATGAATGAGTTTGTGCCTATTGAAATCCTATGCAGTGAATGCAAGTGAACCTCTAGATTTTTGCAAGTCTTGGGGCGGGGTGAAGCATAGGGCCATCGGTTCTTTGGACTGGGAGGCAGCCAAGTGCCTCTCTTCTCTGGACCATGCAACCGGTGGCAACCCCAGAGAAATGGACGGCTGCTCTAAGGGTTGGAAGCAGTATCCTGCTCTTGGTGCCATGTGCTCCAGACCTGTGCAGAGATCCCCTCCCCAGCAGAGTTGTCACCTGATCCTTAAGCAGGAACTGCAGGCCCAGGAGGATCCCCCGATTGTGCCACAGCTCCACCCAGAGCAGAGCTGCCCTGCCGAGAAGAGAGAGAGAGAGAGAGAGCAGGTCCCCCGACTCCTTGTTGAGATTGGGTCAGAGCCGTCAAGCGCACAAAACCAGGAGTCCAGGCGGTTCAAGGGAACATATAGGCTTATTGCAAGCTTAAGCTCTCTACAAGAATCTGAACCACTAACGGTCAAAGCAGGTTGGGGGAGATAAGAGCCAATGGAGTTCAAAGGTGGCTGGACTTGGATCGCTTGTGAGTGGAAAGGGTCCAGTGACCCCCCTTGTTTGACCCCTTTCTCTCTCAGGCTCAGCCTGGTCACCCCCTACACCTCCCAGAGCCTCCAGGCACTGAGCCAGCAGGGCAGAAGCATCCCCTGCCTGGCCAAGGTGACAATGTCAAAGAGAGGAAGAGCCCTCCAACCCTCTGTGCTACAGGCGTGGGGGTATAGGACCTTCCCCCCCCCCCCCCCCCCCCCCCCCCCCCCCCCCCCCCACAGCCCAC